ACACATTGGACAATATTGATATACAGTAGGATTTTAAAACACTACCAAGATTTTTAATGAAGTTCCATTTATTGTAAAATCTTGGGGCATGTCTTCGGTGCACAGAATCACACATAATGCTCTCTGGAGCAAAATTAATTGCTTGAACATGCTATACGTAGAATTTTATCTGTATCTACTTCTTGTACGAATTGTAAAGGCGTTGTGTTCATATTAATGTAAGTCCGTGCTTTTATTCAACTTTCCCCCGTGGACGTTAGTCAGGAGAAAAATCCAACTACATTTCTGCATTTCTTACGAATTATGTTATGTCGAGTAAAATTCTTCATAGCAGGTTTCACTGATAACTGTAACCAATAAACAAAAAAGGGAATATTAGTCTAATTCTTATCTATATCGGTAATTTTTATTGTATTATGATTATCATCGATTAGAAAAGAATGGTTTTCCTTAACAACATTTCATTTTCTTGATTTTTCAAATGGCCTAATACAAAAATAATTTACCTACTTGAATTTTGATTTGGAATATTATCACCAGCCATTGAACTCATCCACTTCTCTAAGTAATACACAGAATAAATTCGCTTCTTTAATGAATGACAATCTGTTTTCAATTATTGAAAAATTGCATTACTTGTTCATTCACCAAACGAACAAAGCCACTGCTATGCGCTCCAGGGTATAGTACTATTCAAAGATAATTTTATTTGCAAGTAGGAATAATTAAATGAGATAGGAAAATATATGTAGTGTTTTTTACACCTTTATCTTACCGATTATCATCAGTTCCTCTGCTAACGTCATCCTTGTCCTGAAGCAAGTGTTACGTAAAACATTTGAGATATTGCTCTGAGTGTAAAAAGTTAAGTATTGTATTCTATATTTTTTATAAGGAATCATCTGTTTGGATAAACCCTATTTATTATGGTATAAGGGTATTTTTATGCAACAATATGATGCACTACATAATATACAAATTTTTAAAAAACATAATATATGTTTCATATATTAACGCACATGCGTTCGGTATGTACATAAACGTAGAGTATTAACAACTAGAATTCAATATGAAACAGTAATGAATTGTAAAGTAATGCACAAAAATTACAACTATGTTATAAATAAAAAAAGGATAAAATATTTTAGTTGTACAGTGGAAATAAATTTATTCATACTTACAAAAAACTTAACTTTTTAAACGTTCTAAAATGTTGCGATACAAATAATTTATGAGTGATAAAAATATATTTATTATTTTTTTATTATAACTGTAGGTTAAAACCATAATCTTTTTATTGGTAAATAGATTATTCTGGAATTTTAAAAATATAACTTAGTACATTTATTATGTTTCATCTTATAAAAACAGATCATAATTAAAACTAGCATTTTCTGAAAGCAATTAAATTCAAATGAATATACTACTATACTAATTAAAATGTGAGGCACATTTTGACATTTCTCTTAAAAAAATACTCGTCTTAATTATGATTTATTAACGTATCCTTTATATTACTCACCTTATTATATTGAACATGACATTTAACAATGTCACATGAATTATCACACATCGATTTGTATGTCACTGTCCTCGGCTTCGCTTTCGGTACTAATCATAGCATCTTCTCCAACTAACAAGGCTGCAGGTAGATTTTGCGGTACATTATCAATATCTAATCTTGGAGTTGAATAGACATTTAATACTTGAATTGTTGTTGGAGAAGTTGAAAGACATTGAGGTACCGAACCCAGAGGATCCGAATGTAATGTATCACAATCCAAAGAAGTTGATAATTGTAACTGTAAATTATGTAACTCAGGTATATGTGGTCGAATCTACAACATAATGTTAGGTACCTTACAAAATTAAGTTCAATTAAGCGAATTATTCAATTATATATCAATTCTACCTTTAATCCATCTGCTGTATGAGGATTTCTACAACCCCTGCATCTACATTCAACACAGGGTTTACTTTCAACATAGCAGGGACAACGTTGACCACAACACGTTAATTTTCCAGGTATTGCTGTAGCATTGCCACATCTACATCCTTTCCTTTTGCTCCGCGCTGAACTCGACCTCGGTTTTTTAAAGCCTGAGGACTGTTTGAAACAAAATATGGTGTTTTAATTTTAATTATTATGAAAGAAGAAAATGTAAAATTTATAGATTAATGCAGACACGAACAAATACTTCATAAAAACATTATGAATTATTGTGTATACAAACACAACATTGTTATCTGCATTAATCTCGGTATGGGACCTAGCAAAATACATGTTCAAATTTATTTAAATCTAGTGTTAGTAATAAGAGTTATTAAACAATGTTAATCAATGTAAGCTTCTATAAATTGTTAATTGTTATAGAAATCTAAAAATATGATTGTACCTTACAAGTAATATTAATGAGAATGCACATCATTTAGAATTTAAATAAAAATTATAGTGCAATGCAAACTTCCTGTAAGGCACAAAATTAACCGAATATCTATTGAAATTACTTTGCTGCCCTTTGAAGATCTTTTCTGAGAAGGGGTCCCATATTTAAAGTGGGAAGATGGAATACATTTTACCCCTCCTACAGAGCTGTGTGGATTTCCATCCGTTTCCCGCTGTCCTATGTCTGCATCATCTGCAGCAGCTGCTTTCCGTTTTATCGTTATTTTGTTACCAGAACCAGCATACATCACAGAATATATTGAAGATCCATTTGATACAGTACGTATAGCAGGTGATTCTATACAATGAATAAATACATTTTATCGAATAGATGTTATATTTCGAGAACGATGACAACATTTAATTAATTTTTCGAGCAAGAACATAATCACAACGTAATGTTATAATGCTGTCGACCGCTGGATTCATTTTAATATCGGTGATAATAACATGTTAATATTTAAAAATATATGACATTGCAAAAAAGAATCTGATCTTCACAATGACCTAGAGGAAGAATTTATTTTACCATTGCATCTGTCTCCTTAAATGGATCATCTTTTCTGTATGGTACTTCCTGCTTTTAAATCTAACAAATATATTAAGACATTTTGTTTCTTGTAACTTACCATTTATAATTCTCACTACGCTTATTCCCTTTTATATGCAGTACAATACAATTTTGTAAAAAAAATAAAGAATAATTTAAAAACATGATATAATCTGTAACAAGGCTGATCATTTTTTCCTATTTCATAAAATATTTTTGAAGGATAGATCAAAATCAATAGAATATTCTATATAATTTGATATATAATTTGGGAGTGTTAGAGTATCCAGAGTTTGTTATTTCTTAAAATATTACAAATACAAAGAATTTCTTGTATGAAAGTTCAATTGGTTAGTAGTTAATTTTGTAAATAGCTTTTTTTTAATATATCAATACTTTTTGATATTTCAAAATCATTTCTGAAGTAGTTATAAGATTTTCATGTTCTGTAACAACTGTAATATACCATTACAATTTACAGAAACATATTAAATATTAGGTAATAAAATATTATTGTACCTTCTATAAAATATAGTCTTCTAAGCAAATTAATATGATATTGTAGGGAGAAAAATGTTCAACCAAACGGATTGCTAGATCAGGATTTAAGTCCAGATCTTTTGCATAGAGGACAGCTTTTATCATAATGCTATCCAGACAACTAAGATATAAAAATAATAATATATGATTTTAGTGAAAATTAATTCATAATGTAGAAGATATTAAAATGTCAAAAAGTTCAAGAAAAATAACATACAAGAAGTATAATATATGAAATAATGATTAATATACTATACCAGGTATATTTTGTGATATTGCTTCAGAACTTTGTATGGTATTTCCTTGCGTTTGAGTTGAGGTAGTACTTGTATAAACACATGGTAAAATGCTATACGCAGATTTCGATAGACCAGCAGTACTTTTAAATTCATCTTTGAAGCCCGAACCTTCTTGTATAAGTTCCATAAGACTTGTAGCACCAATAGCTGATGAACCATTACTTGTTTTGTTAGACGATACTGAAAGTATCAAGCTTCGATAAATGTTTGTATTTGTCAAATATTCGCACAGTTTCTTATAACACTGTAACAGTATTCGTAATTGAACATTTTCAACGTATTTGTCATAATCCTTGCACCAACCACACGAAGGTTTAAGCTTTTTACGTCCACCTCTGCAGCCACGACACACATGATGTTGACAATTAGTTTCCGTTGGTGTGTGAGGTTCAATTAACAAATTTGAGCACACAGTACAACTTAGGCTTTGCCGTAAATATGGTACCAGCCTATACAAATCTGTCCACGAGTTTGGATCATCAGCATCCGCTTGTAAAACTAATCGACACGTTGATACATAAAGGCTCGTGGCATTCATTTTTTTTTAAGTTTTTCACGGGCAATATATATATATACATATATGTATATGTATATATACATCATGCACACACACACACACCTCCATATATACATATACATATACATATAATTATACAGGAAAGTTAATTAAACAAAGTAATAATACACGTATAACATAATCATTACACACAAACAAAACATCAGCCATGTTTAATGTCTTATCATTTATACTTGTAGAGGGCTCTTTGCGTCGCTAGAACTAAAGAGTATTTCTAGATGGGAAAAGGGCCAGGAATCCCAGAACCTGTGGATGCCACTGTAGGTATGTAGGAGAATCCCAAGATATTGCCATTTTCCCCAGGGAAACATACTGAGCTCGGTGCTGTATCTTCTACTAGCTTTTTGTAACTTATGATCATTCAGCGTCACCAAAACGTGAAGAAGATATGTGTATTCCTTGTAACTGCTCGTTTATTTGATGGAAGTGCGTTATAAACATAAATATCTCTGAAAGTAATAGAGTATACACTTTTATGATAATGTCTAATTACAACACTATTGAAAGCATGTTTTAAAGAGTATTACAGGTGTAAATAATTATTGTGAGGATTACTACTTTCAATTTTTGTAAGCAACGTAAAATTCCATGCATTTGTTGTAAGGTTTTGTATTATTTTTTATTAAATTCAATTAAACTTTGTTTTTGGATACTAGTAGTCTGATGCTTTTTTTTCCTAAGCACTCATTTGATAATATCACAAATTCTATATTAATATTTTAGGTTAAATTATTTACAAATGGCAGATAAAGCTATTATGAAGGTATAATTATATAAATTTATCTTATGATTTAACTGAAGTTTGATACTTTTATCTGATGATTGCTTCAAATAGTAATTGTTTCAAATATACAGCAAATTGCAGAGCAAAAGCTTAAAGCATTTTCTATTGGCACAATGGGTAAGAGACCATTAAGTAAAAAAGAATTAGAAGAGCAACGTAAAAAAGAACAAGAACAGGCTGCAGCTCAAGTATGTAATGTGCAATATATCAAGAACAAAATGTGTATAACATTAATAGTAGATGTAATTTCAACTATATATACTTATGGTATAATCAACTACATTTTGTATATAGGCATTTGAAGAATTTGTAGCAACCTTCCAAGAAACACCTAATAAAACAACAAGTAAAGTTTGGGTAAAGGCAGGCACTTATGATGCAGGAAAACGACGTAAGAATGTTATTGCATTGATGTAAGAATTGATTTTTGTTTATAATCAAATGAATGTTTTTTGACAGAGGAAGATACAAGAGAAAAGGGGAAACTCTACAAACCTCAGTCAAAAATATCAGAACTTGTTGATAATAGATCATCAGCAGAACAAGCACAAGAATATGCAAGGCTATTGGGATCAAGTGAAAGAAAGCTGGATAGATTGGGAAAAAAGAAAAAAGAAGGTGAAAAGAAGAAAAGTAATCTTGAATTATTTAAAGAAGAGTTAAAAATGATACAAGAAGAAAGAGAGGAAAGACATAAATATAAAGGGGTAGTGAAAACTGTTATTTCTGCTCAATCAGAAGATCCAATGCTAGCAGCTCTAAAATGTGTTGAAGGTAACTAAAGTTATTGTCTAGAATAAAATGTAGTGGAGTATTAAAATTGTGTTATAAAACATAATCTTCCTCAACCAGGATAGTTAAATTATATGTTGTTAAGTACTTAGTTCTTGTTTCCAAATTAAAAGTTTGAATTCATCAAACTATGTTAGGTGGCACAACCTCATATCCTGATCCACGAAAAATTAATCTACATACCCTTATTGACGATCCACGATTCCTAGCCCTGATATACGAGGGTAAAAAGTACCCTTTTTTACTACTGTTCACTACTACTTTTCTTAGTATTAAAATTATATTATAAATGTAAAAAACATTGTCTTTTGTAGATGGGTCATTTGACAATGGTGATCCTAATACAACAAATCTATATTTGGGAAATTTAAATCCGAAGGTATAAATTCATTGCAAGTGCTTATGTATAATGAAATTTATAATTTTAATATTGGATAAAACACCCTATATATAGGAAACATTAACGAAAGTAACTTTATCTTATTGCCTCGTAATAGATTACAGAGCAACAATTGATGGAAATATTCGGAAAATATGGCCCGTTAGCTAGTATCAAAATTATGTGGCCGCGTAGTGACGAGGAAAAAGCTAGGCAAAGAAATTGTGGTTTTGTTGCATTCATGAGCCGTAAAGATGGAGAACGAGCATTGAAAAATCTGAACGGTAAGAATTTGCATTTTTTTAAATACATTAAATTATGAAGATATTTAATTACAATATGATGAAATAGGCCGTGATATAATGCAGTATGAGATGAAATTAGGCTGGGGAAAAAGTGTACCAATTCCACCTTATCCCATTTATATTCCACCTGCTTTGATGGAAATTACACAACCGCCACCTCCATCTGGTCTTCCGTTTAATGCTCAACCACATCGTCGTGATAGACATAAGGTATGCATTAAACGGAATAAGTGTAGTTAACACATAAGTGTCTAATATTTAAAATAAATAGAATCACCTGGAATTATATTAATGTTATATGTTATAACTATTTTAATGCAAACCCCGTTAATTAGAACGATATGAACTGGCGACAGTGTGTTAATTAAACTTGTTTATACAAAATTTCAATGAAATATGTATATTTTTTGAATATCATCTCAGGTACCTCGTATTCGTAATCTACAGACAGCAGATCCTCAGGAGAAGGAAAACTTCGAGAAGGTAAGACTTATTACAACGAAACAAATTTAATAATTTATAGGCGATGTAATAAACTACAACCCTAATGTAAATTGTTATAGGTTTTGCAGAATGCGGTTGTCAAAGTAGTTATACCAACAGAAAGGTATATCGTGATTGTAGAATTTGAACTATCGATATCGTCGTAAATAAAAATTGATAATTAATTTTTGCAATAATTATTACAGAAACTTAGTTATGTTAATACACAGAATGGTAGAATTTGTGATTCGAGAAGGCCCGATGTTTGAGGCAATGATTATGAACCGAGAGCTAAACAATCCAATGTTTAGGTTGGTTTTAACTTCCTTAAAATACATTATTCTTTTAGCATTTCAGATTTTTGTAATAATTATTCAATTCTAGATTTTTATTTGAAAATTATTCACCTGCACATATTTACTATCGGTGGAAGTTGTATTCCATATTGCAAGGAGATGGACAAAAAGAGTGGCGTACCGAAGATTTTAGGATGTTCAAAGGAGGAAGTGTATGGAGACCACCGCCGATTAATCCATGGACTCAGGGTATGCCCGATGAATTGATTGAGATGGAAGAAAGGCAAGAACCTAGAAGAGGAAGTTTGTCAAACAGGTATTACAAATGATAGTTATTTTTCATTAATTTAATTAATATTATTCAAATTCTCAAAAATATTTCTTTATAGTCAACGGGATCGATTAGAAGATTTATTACGAAACATATCCCCCGAAAGGATAAAAGTAGCAGAAGCCATGGTATTTTGTATAGAACATGCCGAAGCAGCCGAAGAAATTTGTGATTGTATTTCAGAGTCGCTATCAATATTACAAACACCCGTCAATAAAAAAATTGCAAGATTATATCTTATATCGGATATATTACACAATTGTGGTGTTAAAGTAAATAATGCTACTATTTATCGGAAAGCGTAAGTTGTTTTCTGAAATATATTAAATTTTTGAGGAAATTCATTAATTTGTAATTAATACATAAATATAGTTAATGAAATTAGTATTAATACACTTGTGAAACAGGTTTGAAACACGACTTTTGGATATATTTAATGAAGTTCATCAAGCTTACAAACAGTTTGATAGTAGATTAAAAGCTGAAGGATTTAAAGTTCGTGTAATGAGAATGTTTAGGGCATGGGAAGATTGGGCAGTTTATCCGCGAGATTTTCTCGTTAAATTACAAAATACTTTTCTTGGTCTTGTTCTGGTAAATTTAATTTTTTCATTTCATAACACCTTTTTGATATTTTTAATATCATATATTAAAGCAAAATGATTACCTTGTTGTAGGTAGATGAACCTGAACAAGAAAATGATGAAGATATTGATGGAGCACCGTTATCAGATGTAGATGGAGATGGTGCAGAAGATCTGGACGGGGTACCATTAGACGGAGCTGCTTTACTTAAAGGTGCTATGAAACATGGTTTAACGCCACAAACAACAACCAATTATGATGACATCGATGGAGTTCCTAGTAAGAACGTTTGAAAAATATTCTTTACACTAGATATAAGATGCACTTATAATATATGTAATAATGTATTTTGTATGTTTATATTTACAGTGGATGAGGATATTGATGGTATTCCTATGGATGAAGATGATTCTTCGAATCTACGAAATAAAGAGGATGAGAAAAAGCCATCCATTCCTGCAGGTTTTGTACCATCACGTTGGGAAACTGTTGATCCTGATCAGGTTGAGATCATTATTTTTAACTATTAAAAGTTTTTTCTTTTTTCTTTTTTTTTTTTTTAAATAACAGTTTTCTTACGTTAGGTCGAAGCGCAAGCTATGACGACTAGTAAATGGGAAGAATTAGGTCAGAATGATGATTCGAATTCTCAGGATACTAGTATGGATTCCAGGTAATACATCCGCATTTGTTGTGTTACCTACAAAATATGATATATTAGTAAGTATTTATTTGGTTTCATAGTGGTAGAGATTATAATGAAGAAAGAAGAAGTAGACTTCGCGAAATTGAAGTTAAAATAATGCAGTACCAAGATGAATTAGAAAGTGGTAGGAGGGCATTAAAATCTGGTATGACAATTCAAGGACAGGTGGAACATTATAGAAAAAAGCTCATCAGAAAGGTAACACTGCATTTCTTATTACATCGTTTGAAACGTGTTATAGGAATAAAATTTACGATGAAAATTGTTGTTACAGAGCGAGAGAGAACTGAAAGATGCTAAAAGTGAAGAACGCGACGACGACAGGCGAAGGGAAAAGAAACGAAGCACAACTCCAGAATCTCCAAGTCATTATAGAGATCGAAGACGTACTTCGACAAGTCCATCGTCTAAAAGCAACAGATATAGGTACATATTTTTATTTATATACAGTAGGATTTCCAATAATTTTGTATGTCTCGGATAATATAGAAATTTCATGTTCTAAGAATGCATAGCATACGTATATGTTTATAGATCTCGTAGCAGATCACCACGTGGTAAACGTAGATCACGATCACCATACAAAAAACGAGTTCCAGTCACACCATCGCCACCACGCATTCGACGAACGCCTTCACCTTCTTTTTCATCTAGAGTATCTCGAAGATCTCCAGTTAGTGAACGAAGTGACAGGAAAAGAAGAGCGAGATCGCCATCGTTATCTCCACCACCTCCACCACGTACCTCAAAGCATAGAGCTAATAGTCCTCCTTCTCCAACGTCACGCAAACATAGACATAAACATAAATATTAAGTTATTTTACATGATATTCTTTGTATCTTTAAAAAATAATGAATCTATTGATTTTGTAATACATACATTTCAGTATGATTATAAAATAATATTATTGTTATAAAAAGTTCATTAGCGCAATATTGTGAAATATTTTTACCTGATTTCAAATATTCTAATATTTTCCTTTTCTTTTGAAATTTGTTTGTATGTGCGTAGTTGCATATACTCGCGATACGATTTGACAAATATATGAATAAAAAATTTCCCGACGAAATTTCTAATTCTTACGAGCATAAGAATTTTATTTATACATGTAAATTTACTTGTATTATTAGCACATAATTGCATTAAAAGTTATTAAAATATTGTACAGGTATGAAACTGAGGTAAATCAGCATCCTTATTTGTATTATTGTATTGTGGTAAAATGCTTAACTATAAAATTAAGTATAATGAGCTTTAATTAGTTTAAGAACCTTTTGCATGAAAACATTAAAAAATAAAGAACTTTATAAATAAATAACATCTATATTAACAATTTTTAACATTAATATTCTTTTTAATTCATGAATTTTTATGTCTTTAATTTTAAATAGTTAATCGGAAATGATGTGTTAATGTATACTTGTAAAATAGATATAAAAAGAAAATTATTGTGTTCCTAAAGAAAAATATATACATTACATATTTATAACGAAGTAAAATATTTATTCATAACAAAACAAAATTTATAGGAACATAATAAATATAGGTATCGGTAACTACTTTTATTTGTTAAAATTATTTTTATAACTCTCACTAACCTTATTGGAATCATCATTCTTTCGATTTGAAATATTTTCAACATTTGATACATTAAGATTTTTGTTAATTACATGATCTGCTTTTACTTTATCATTAACTTTGGTTGTGATTGCAAACCCTGCTACTGTATCCATAGATTCTGTATATAAAAAACTACACTTAATTAATGTTATAAATATACACACACTTGCTTAATTAACTACATCCTTTATGTAGAGTTATACAAACTTAAGAGATCCTCCATGCTCATTAAACTTCATTTAATTTTTATATAAAAGTAGCGTATTAAATGAATAGCTGTAGTTTATAATTTTCTAATTAAATAAATGTCTTTCTTATTTTTCTTTTTGCAATAACATAAAATTATTATTATTCACTGTTACATATTGTAAATTTTTAAGTACCAATAAACTTTAAATCATACCTATCAAATGTAGTGAAAGAAGTGATACTTATTTGTGCTTTCTTCATTACCCTATTTAGATGGTAGTTTTCCATATTTAGCTTCTAGTTTAGCAATTAATTCCGAGTCATCAAAATTTTCAACATCCTCCTCTTCCTCCTCCTCCTCCTCCTCCACCTCCTCCTCCTCATCCACATCCTCATCCTCTTCTTCTTCGTCTTCTTCCGTTTCCTCTTCTTCCTCTTCTGTAACATATTCCTGTTCCTTGTTCAGATCAATTTCTACCTTTTCTTCATCTTCAATTTGATTATCTGTTTCTTTACTTCTCTTAGTCTCTCTTCTTTCTTTTTTCATTATTTCCTTTGCTTCAACTTCATCTGCTTCCTCTTCCTCCTCTTCCTCTTCTTCTACCTCATACTCCTCTTCTTCTTCCTCTTCTTCCTGATACTCCTCTTCCTCTTGTTTCTCTTGATCTTTTTCATATTTAATTCGTTCTATGATTTCTTCCTTATTCACTTTCTTTTCTTCCTTTTGATTATTTTCTTTATTTTGTTTTTCATTCCGTGCTACTTCAGATACCCGTTTTGTTAAGTGTACTTGTTCTTCTATATCTCTTTTTTCAGATTCGATTATTTTAGACTGATTTTGAACAAAGTTAACTTCTAAACATCAAAAAAACAAAATTAATCAGTGGAGGAATTTTATGAATTGCAATATAAATTATTTTTTTCAATCTCGATTTATGTACAAAATATTTATCAATTTCTTCTTTTGCAGAACATTAAAATGTTTTATGAACGTACTAATGATGTTAATTTTTTGAATTATATAAGATAAATGTTGAAAAATTGTCTAATATGCATGCAGTTGATTATTTCTCGAACTATACAACTTATAATACTTCAATGTAAAATACAAGTTAAATGTACAATATCACATTGTTGATTATATGACTTATTGTTATGATAATATGCAAACAGTAATATAATATATGACAATGATACTATTTATAAAACAAAAATGTTTTAAAATTTACCCTGGTTCCACCGTTTCACAAGGACAAAATGTGCAGCAACAACAAGTGCCACACCAACTCCAAACTTCATTGTCACTGTAACCATGAAATGTTTTCTTACTTACCCTTTAATTATATTAACATGATACAAATATATAACATTCGTGTTATAATAAGTAAAATTTATAAGAGCATGGAGGATCATTGTATATTGAAGAAATAATGTATACATCAGTTTTATTAAATAATAACATTTCACTCACCACTAGCAGATTCTTCTTCTACTTCTTCCTCTACTTCCGGTTTAATATCTACATCATTAACATATTCTTCAACTTCTACATTTTCTACCTAATGCAAAAATTATTATGTAATACAGTACTATAGGTTGTATAAAAAGAAAATTAAGTGTGTAATTATAAAATAATTTGATATTAATCAATTTTAAATAAATAAGAAATAAAATTATTTTATTATATTTTTCTTATTAGATTAATTATTTATAATAAATTAATTTTACATTTTGAAATAATGAAAAATTTCTTTTTTTATTTTGAACACTATAAATGCATAAAGTTTCATTTTTTCAAGATTCGTATAAAAATAATAATAATAAAAAAAAGCATTACATTAAAATAAACAAGAACAATTTTTTATTATTGTTTTGACCATAGTTTGTAGTTGTCATTAATTTTACCTCCTCTAAAGGTTCTATATTATCATCAGTAATTTCATTAATACCAGGAATGTCTAAAAACCTCTCAAATACATCTTCTTTTGTTGGCATTTCTAATGGTTCATCAAACCGATTATCTTCCTCAGATAATATATCTTTTTCATCCGAATTTTTTTCTTTACTAATGCCATAAATTTCTTCTAACACATCAGTATCATCAAAGTTTTGTGGATTAATTTCTCCTTCTTCTTCTTCTTCTTCTTCTTCTTCTTCCTCAGATTTTTCATTTTCATATTTCCATTCTGTTTCTACATAGTAAAAAAATATGAGGATATATTACATTTGTACTTTTCTATATGTATATTATGCTATTTACACTCTAGTACCTTCTTTATCTTCAAAAGCATCATTTTCTACTTCATTTGATTCATTTTCAGTTGCTTCCTCTTCTTCTTCACCTTCTTCCTCGTCTTCTTCTGTGCCTTCTTCTTCTTCATCTTCTCCTCCTTCTACTTCATCATCTTCTTCTTCTCCTTCTACTTCATTTTCTTCATCTTCCTCGTTTTCTTGTTCATTTACTTCTTCACTTTCTTCTTCGAGTTCTTCTTCTTCAGCAGAAGCATCAGTTTCTGAAGCTTGTATTTCTATATTATGATTTTCATCTTCTTCCAATTGTTCCTCATTTTCATGTTGTTTTTCATCGGATTCGTCTTTATCATATAAAAATAAAGAATCATCCACCCACCCATCGAAAATAAAGGCCCAACGTGATGATTCTAATGGTGTATCAGCTTAGAACATAAAATACTTTATGTGAACACAGTGAATTGCGAGTATGAAAATTTATGTTAAAAATTAATTTGAAATTTACTTACTATCCGTAGCACCCCTATGTTCCAAGATAATTACACCAATTAAACCAACGAGTATTGCCAATATTACGAAAAATATAATCCGGACACACCAATGCCCACCAGTACTACTCTCTTTATAAATATGTAAAGTTATGTTGTCTGTTAAATTTTCAGTAACATTTGCAGACGGAGGGGGAGGTACTATATTCTCTTCCTCATCTGAATATCATAATATATAAATAATTATAACATTATACGTTATGTATGTACGATGCTATTTTAATATATGTTTATTATATGTTTGCTTTTAATTTAAAGTGAAGTCATTGAAAAATAATTTGATACGTAATATAAAAAATATTTTACGTATGATAGTAGTGTAATTATTCTCAATAATCTTAGCTTATGTATTTGTTTAAACGTGCAGCTATTAATATTTCTGTTATTCATTTTAAATCGAAGAGATACTCTTATATATTAACATACTTTCGATATTTAAAAAACAGATAAAATATATAAATAAATTAACGGAAAATGTTTGTGAAATAGATAATACAACTTGATCTATTTTTGAAAGCCAAAAGCAAGGCTGATCAAGTTTCTAAGACCTTATATTTTCTAATTCGAGCAACATTGCTAAATATGCCTTAAAATATCCGAAATATTCATACTTGACATAATAATCTAAAACGTTTTTACAATATTAGTATTAATTATAATTATATATCACATTTTTGTAAGTAAAATTTAATGTATATTTTAAAAATAAAAGCGCATACATTTATTATAATAGAAAATAAGATATTAAAATATTTATAATTATATTAAAATATTTATAAATAAATCTAAATTGTTTAGCAGTATAATAATGAAAACTTTCAAATAACATTATCGTATTCTAATACCATTTTTAAATGAATAATTTTAATTATTATAATGCATGATATCAAAATAATAGATGAATTAATGTAAGAACAACACGCTAATAAAAATACTGGTATAATTTATAAATTAAATATAAATTACAGTTAATCATCGGAATGTTAAAAATTTTGTAAAATTAAAATAAGACTGGAAATTAAAATTTATAAAATTAATAATAGGTAAGCAATATGTTACAAATGCAATATTATGAATCAAAAGTTTAATAGTTATCTTACATTATTTTTCCATTAGTCTGCAATATAAATCAAAAGGAATAAAACACATGAAATCGAAATTATAGTTTCTACATTATTTTACAAAATTGAAAGGAATATTACTGTT